CCAGAGTTTTATTGAGATAATTTAGTCCTCATTAGAATTTCCCTTACAACGTGTTCCTTCTGTTTCAAGGGTGTTTAGCATTTGAGTGATGTGTTATACATATGTAGAAATATAGCTATAAATACATAGCTCATGGCTCGTTGCATCCCACTGATTTCTCTCCTCCTCCCTTGACCTTCCCCCATCTTGAAGTCTGTTCTGATTCATTTGTTGTCTCATTAGAGCCTTTTCTTTAAAATATTTCTCACATGAGATACGGAATGATTTTTGTAAATCTTCAACTATCTTTCTTTCTCCCTTTGCTAGGTCCTGGTCGCAGGCCTTTTCTTTCATTACCTCACATTCCTTTTCGCTGTTGTTTAACTTCCAGGATTGCAAATAAGAAAAATGAACTTTCCTTCTGCCTGGAAATGTGTGTAACATTGTTCTCATCCTTAGAGTTCAGGAATTTTCTCCGGTATAGGGCTATATATTTCTTCAGCTCAGGGACATTCCCTGTTAAATTATTTAATTATGACGTCTCCTCTCCTGTTCCTCTTCTCCTAGAACTCATAGAATTTGCAGGCTAAATCTCCTGGGTCTGTTTCAGTCTCCCATCTTTCACCACATAATTTGCATCTCCATATTTTTGTTACATGTTTTGAGATATTTCATCTGTTTAATTTTCTGGACCTCTTTTTGGGGTTTTAGCAGTAACCATCCTCTCCTTTGCTTTATGTTTGGAAGTTTTTAGCTCTGATATCACATTTTCTAGTTCAGGGAAATCTTTTGTGTTTGACCTTCACAAATATCTCCCCCAGGCTCTCATTCAGTCAGAGATTCATTTGTTTCCTCCAGCAGGTCTCTCCGCCCTCTGGTTTGTCTGCATTCTCCTGGCCTCAAAGGCTGAGAAATTCATTCCACCGTTAGTTTTTTAGAGAGCTGGAGAGACTCAGCAAAGCCATTGATTTTTCCTGGGAAGCCAGCTGTTTCTGGGACTTGCTGCCTTCCTGAAGGTCCTTTATCTTGGTTCTGAGACTGTTCTCCAGAAACTTGTCTGCAGGAAATTCACTCTGCCAGGAATTCAGCAGAGCCCATTTAAAGTTCATTCTCTGTAGCTGGGAGTTGTCAGAGGGGTTGTGGAAGGGAGAGCTTCACCAGGGTTTGCACATACCTAGAATCCTCTTGCTCGAAGTATTCTTATTATTGACAGAATGATAATCACCAGAAGACTTAAACACAGAACCCATTAATAGCAAGTGCCTCCGTGAACTACAACCAGAAGTAGGAATGGGGTGGGGGGATGGCCTTTTACTCCCCACTGCCCCATTCTAGTATTTCTCAGCCTCAGCACTTTTAACTTTTGGGGACCGAAATTCTGTATGGTGAGTGGCTGACCTGTGTGTTGTGGGCTGGTCAGCAGCATCCCTGGTCTCTACCCCCTATAGATCAGTACCTCGGGGCACTCCCCAGCTGTGAAGACCAAACGTATCTCTGCACATTGCCAAATGTCTCCTGGGGGCCAAAGTCACTTCTGGTGGAGAACCATTGGTGTCTACCTTTCAGTTCTTTTTTTTTTTTTTAAACATGTATTCACACTATTCCTAAAATTAAACATTGAACCGAGGTCATGAGACAGAGGAGAAAATATCAAGCAGTTGAGAGGAAGCAGAAACCAGAAGTAGAGGATGAGGAAGCAAGTTAGCAAAGTAGGAAAAAACTGGGAATAAATAAAAGACACAGAAACTCTTTCAAAGTCATGGAACAGGAGGAGCGGAGTGGGAAGACCCGCATACTCCTGTCACCAAGGTCCCCAGCAAGGCTGTGATTTGAGATCTGAAATCCAGCAACAGTCTGCAGAGGCCCAGTCATACCATAGCTACTGTTCTGCAATTCCCATTCCATTCGGCTTCCTCCCTGCCACAAGTGTCCTAACAATAAACACCCCTTCACTTAACCAAGGCTAAGTGAGTGTATTCCTTACAAACAAAGCCCCATAGACTTGGTGCCCAGTGAAAAGACGGACTGTCACAGTTTCCTACCAGTACTATATTTACCTCTTAGTATCACACTTGAAGAGAGACTCTGCTCAAGCAAAACAGTGGGAATGATGAGTAGCTGCCAATATCTGTAAAAGGAATTCTAGAAAGCTTTTTCCGGGAGGGAGGAAAAAAAAAAAGACTTAGGCCATCCATCAGGGCTATCATGTACAGGAGAAGGGCAATTATATGATTGTAGCTCAGGAGGGAGAATTGATGACAAAAGTAACAGGCAGATTTTGTCCCCCCCACTCCCCACCAAAAAGTTCTCTCAAAAAGAAAGATTGGAAATAAGTGCTTGGTTAAGGTAGTGAGGTCCCTAGTCCTGGAAATGTTTAAGAAGTGGCTGGCAGGATGGCTCCTGCAGTGGATATAAGTTTGGGCCAGATCTGCCTCCTCCCAGCTGTAGAATTCTAGAAATTTAAAAGCCTGGCAAGAGGCACACACCAAGCAGAAAAATTTGAGGGTCAAATGGCATTATAGTTCATTTAAATAAGTCAGCAGAGGATGGGCTGGTGGAGGAGTTGAGCAATAAAGGAAGATCTCAGAGGTTCAGCATCTTCTGCTGGCTCTAGTGTGCTGATCTTTCCCTCATAGAATGACTTAAGCAAAAAAGAGAATGCATTAGCTTACATAACCAAAAAGTTCAGGAGGCAGATCTAGCTCTAGGCATGTCTGGATCCAAGGTTCCAAATGAAGTCATTACAACTTGGTCTCTTTCCATGTCCCAGCTCTGTTTCCCTCTTTACAGCCAAAACAAGCCAAAACAAGCTTGGAAGTTTAGACTCATCTTTACAGAGTACAGAGCAAAGCCAAAGATGGGGGGGTCTTGGCTGGATGGCTTCATAGGCCCCCCTCTCCACCTAAAAGTGATTCCTTTTTTTTTTTCTTTAAAGATTTTATTTATTCATTTGACAGAGAGAGACACAGAGAGGAAACACAAGCAGGGGAAGTGGGAGAGGGAGAAGGAGGCTTCCTGCCAAGCAGGGAGCCTGATGTGGGACTTGATCCCAGGACCCTGGAATCATGACCTGAGCGGAAGACAGACACTTAACAACTGAGCCACCCAGGTGCCCCAACCAGTCATTCCTTAAGAACCTTCTATCATTGAACATTTGACCATCCCAAAGGCCCTTCCTCTTTGGATCTTGGGCTTGTCCCCAGTCCTCCCAGCTGAGATGACAGGAAGAGGGGGAAAGCTGGGGCTCCAGACTCCAGAGGGCTCTCATGGCTTCTCCCAATGATCTTCCCCTGGGAATTTGCCAGGAACAGGGTACTCCTTTTTATTTATTTATTTATTTATTTATTTATTTATTTATTTCAGAGATCACAAGTAGGCAGAGAGGCAGGCAGAGAGAGGAGGAAGCAGGCTCCCCGCAGAGCAAAGAGCCCGATGTGGGGTTCGAGGACCCTGGGATCATGACTTGAACCCAAGGCAGAGGCTTTAACCCACTGAACCACCCAGGCGCCCTGGAACAGGGCATTCCTAGTGGCTGGATCTTACACCAGTCAGGGAAGGGAGACCACTAAGAAAAGCACCCCTGGAGCTACAGAAGGGGAGACAACTGCAAGGTGTTTGGGAAACGAGCTGACCAGCTTAAAGAGATGAGGTAAGGGGGTCCCCGAAGATGTCTGAGGTGGAGCTGGCTGCCCCAATTTTTTTTTTTTTTTCTTAGACGCAGGGATCAACTAGGACGTTGCCACACAGTCCTGGCCTTCAGTCCTGAGGGCCTCGGCCAGGGCACGAGCCTCGGAGACAGACGAGTAAGACAGAAAAATTAAAAGGTTGTAGCGAAGAGAGAAGGTAAAAGATCTGGGCTTCAGGGACCAGAAGGAAAATAACGTTCAAACTGCATCCAGCTCCAGATCTAGCGAGTCCCTACGTCCCGCGAACCGCGAAACGCTGTTCTGGGAACCACAGGGTCCCGGCTCCGCGAAGGGTAGGGCTAAACTCGTGGGGCGGGTAAGATTACGGGAGGAAGGGTGGGGAACTGTCGGGACTACATTTCCCAGCATGCTGTGGGCGGGGCAGTTTTACGCATGCGCAGAGGCCGTGGCAAGGCTGCGATGTGCCTGACGGGGGCGTTCCGGGTTTGGTCCCGAGATGGGCAGAGTGGATGTAAGGCGGAGTGTTAAGTCCTGCGATGGTGGTGGTTGAGGCTTCGGTTGCAGTTTTCCGCTGGTCCCAGTGGGTTGGCGGGACCCCAAGCCCCTTCTCTTACAGAGCCCGTCTTTCACGTCCCCCAGTCCGCGGAACTGAGCGGTCTGCAGACTAGCAATCCTCAGAACCCCACATCCCGCTGCCAGTGGTTCCCCGCATCCGGTGCCGGCCCCCAAAGCCACCTTCCCTCCCACACAGCCTCAGCAGCCTGTTCCTGCCGCGACCGGCGCCTCTGCTGGGGGAGGCCCAAGTTGAGGTCCACGGAGGCGGATCTGGCATTTGGGTTATTCTCTCTCTGTGTGTAGAGGGTCTGCCTTATTGGGACCACCAGGTAAGGCTCAGGAGCACGGTTCCCTACTCTGGTTTTCTCTGGGACTGTGAGTGGGAAGGAGAGATGTTTGGAAGTAGAAGCCTGGCTTCCACTATCTTCTGGCCCTGAAACCTCAGAAAGGTCTATTAAGCCAGACTTACCTCTACAGAAGCCGTAGGGTGAAGTGGTGGAGACTTGAGGTTGTGGCTGGTGGCAGCACAGTCGTAGAGGCCACGGGGAGAGTGGGTCAGGAGCTGGGGAGCTTGCAACACCAGGTGATGGGAGTGGGGTGGCTCTGAGTGCAAATTCTAACGATGATCTAGCAGCAAGTATAGCTTGAGCTGGGCTCCAGCCTCCACCCCAGCACTCACCCTGGCTGTGTTGATGCCACTGACGCTCTTGGTCCATCTTCCCCAGCAAGGCGCCCCCAGAAGTGCTCTGTACAGAGAGCAAAGCTCACAACCCTACCATGTAGCGCCTGTTGCAGGTCTGAAGCCTCCAGATAAAAATCTAAACACTTTCTGAGAAGTTTTATTTGAAAACTTGGGGACATAACAGAGGCAGCAGGATGTGGGCTGGTATTCTCCAACCAGGTTTCTCAGATAAGAAGCCAGGCTTGGGTTCCTCAGGTCGCTAGGTTCCAGGATCCCTCCAGACTATGGGGTCCCAAGGAGAATACCCACCCTTCTCTCAGACGGTTACCCCCTCCACCACTGCCCACTTCCGGTATCTGAGCGGACACCGAACTATAGACTTTAAGGGAGCCGGAACAGAGAGGATCTGGTTAAAATCCACAAGGACGGGAAGTGAGTAACTTGGGAGCTTGGGGCCTTAGGGGAATAGATAGTTTCCTCCATCCCCAAGAAACCAGGGACCTACTCGTTCCCCTGAAGTGTCTCCCTCACTTAGAGGGGAAGTTTGGGAAACATTACCTCCTGTGACCGGACATTGACTACCTGTCTTTGGGGGGTGGTTGGGAAACAGTCATGTTGGGGCAGGGTAGCAGTAACCCCTGCAGCAGAGGAGGCTGGGGTGATGATCGTCCCACTCTGCCAGCTCCTCCGTCTCAGCTGGGTGCAGGCTGGCTGTTGGCATAGGCCTGGTCTGGGAAGGAAGCCCGTGCCCTGCGGGTCTGGGCACACACTGAGGCGTACAGCTCCGGCTCGGGGCCTGAGGCCTGGGGCTTTGGCTCAGAATCCAGCACCACCTCTGAGTACTTGATGGGGGTTCCGGGGCTGGGGAGATGGCCCTGAGAAGGCCGCAACTGCAGGCTGGTATAGCACATCACTTTTTCTGTAGCCTGGAGATGCAAGGCTGTTAGAAGTTCACTGGACCCTTGGAAAAGCCCTCACTTCCTTCCCTCCCCCCTTCCTCAGCCACAACTGACTCACCGTGACGGGGTCTCTAGGAGCTGGATCTTGCTGGTCTGGCCCCGGTTCTTGAGACAGCCGACCTGGGATAGGGAACACTAGTAATCTGGTCACTTCTTGTTCTTCCTCTGCCATCCCTCATCCCACCCACCCAGGACATGCGTGGCCTTGGTGCCCCTCCCCTTTGCCAGTTCCCTACCAGTCTGAAGATAAGGTAGGTTCCCATATAGGGGGACCTCTTCCACAGATCCTCCAGAGCTGCAAGACAGAGATGAGGGGATGAGGGGACATCTGGGTAAGGGGGAACTCTCAGTCACCTATCTCTGTTGTCCCTACTCACCGTCCCTGTCCCGGATGGCTTCTGTTCCGGCCACTAGTCCATCGGAACAAGTGTGCAGCCAGTGAGATGAGAAGCAGCAGCGTCGCAGCCCCTAAGAGGGCCCACAATCCCCAGGCCTGAGTCACAGTGGGGATTCCTGTGGACGCCAGGGTATGGGGGCTGTTACTGCCCAGCCCAGCCCTCCAGGTCCCAGCAGGTGGGACAAGGGGCCATGTGACCCCTCCCCCTGCCCCTGCCCCGCCCAGCTCACCGGGCACTAGCAGTTCTGTGACTTCTGTGCAGTTGGCACCTCTGTTCATGACTGCTGACCTGGGAGCTGAGTCTGCAAGCCCTGCGCTGAGGGGTCAGCCTGGCTTATGGCCTGATTGCTGCTGCAGGCCCTTTTACTCTCAGCCCTCCCCAGGCCTGGCCCCCACAGTTCATCCCCAATACTGCTGGTGGCAGAGTCACTGGTTTCCGGGGAGGAAGGGGGAGGGGAGGGATGAGCGAAAGAACAAAGACACCGCCCTGTGCCTGCACCTGCGCCACCCAGCATCTTCCAAGCTTCCGCCCCCACCCCTCGCGGCCCTATACCTTCTTTGGCCGGAGAAGAGAAGCAGACCTGCAATTTCTGTGCCACTGTGCAGGTGAGCCCATGAAGACTCCCAGGAGACAACGTAGCATGGGGCAGGACCAACAAGACAAGGAAGCCAGGCCTTAGGACAGAGATTCCTCTCTGCCGCAGGGTGTCTGCCTTTTCTCTCCCACTCTGAGACCCGTGAGAGAGAATATATTCCTCACTGAGCATACTATCAAGCGGAATGAGACGGGGAGGCCTCCTAGTACCTAAAATTCCATCACACCCTAAGGCTGAGTGTAGGAGATAAGATGACCATTGTCATTCTTATTATTACTGGTATAATAGTTTAGGGCATAGAGGAAACTTATATTCTCCCCCTCCCGACCCACTTTATCCAAACTATCCCAAGAACTGTCAGTCTCAAAAGTTAGTTGAGTCAAAGAAACCTCTACCTCAGTACATCCTGGAAACTGAGCCATGTCTTTGCGCTTGTTCCCTTCAGGAAGTGGAGCACCTGCATTGCTCAATACAGCCCAACCACATGGGCTGCTATCGATGCGGAAGAAGGATTTCAAGTTCATTAGACCAGAGGTCAGTGATATGTCTGGCAATAGTGGGCCCAAATTCCCTAAAAGCAACCATCAGTCAAGGGCCACTTATCGTTGACTATGCCAGCTGGCTTAGGGTCAAGGTTTGGACTACACGGCTCTGCGACCAGGCTGCCTCTAGATCAGTTAGACTACGGTAACTCCTGTGACTGCGGGTCTCTCCTCCTGGCCCTGCCCCCTCCATTTCTGGAAGAATAAGAAGATACACTCCTAGTTCATTCATTTATTTAGCACACATATACCTCATTCATTTGTCACCTGTGCCGATTGCTTGCTTATGTGCCAAGCTTTGGAGATAAAGATGTGAGTGGGAAATGGTTTCTTTCCTCAAAGGGCTCTTGATCTAATTAGGAAGATGACCCAATGTGTCCCAGACAATTAAAAGGCAACATGAAACATGGGAACTCTCCAGCTGCCTGAGGTCCTGGAGGTGAAAGGAAGGGATGGGGGGTTGGGGGGTGATATGTGGTAACTGATAGGGAGACAGGCAGAAAGCTTTGGAATCTCTGACTTGCCTCTTACCTGATGAACTTACTTAACCTTCTTGAACCTTTGTTTCTTCATTCTTTGTTTTTTTTTTATTTTTTTATTTTTAATATTTATCTATTTGAGAGGGAGAGAGAGAGTATGAGCAAGGGAAGGGGCAGAGGGAGAGGGAGAAGCAGACTTCCATCCAGCTCCAGCATGGAGCCTGAACCGGGACTCATTCTTACTCATTCTTTTTTTTTTTTAAGATTTTATTCATTTGACAGACAGAGATCACAAGTAGGCCTAGAGGCAGGCAGGGGGGGTGGGGAAGCAGGCTCCCCGCTGAGCGGAGAACCCAATGCGGGGCTCGATTCGAGGACCCTGGAATCATGACCCGAGCTGAAGGCAGAGACTTTAACCCACTGAGCCACCCAGGCGCCCCAGGACTCATTCTTTAAAAGAGTTTAATTAGGGGCTCCTGGGTGGCTCAGTTAAATGTCTGCCTTCAGCTCAACTCATGATCTGTGGGTCCTGGAATCCAGCTCCAGTCGGGCTCCTTGCTGAGCAGGGAGTCTGCTTCTCTTTGCCCTCCCCACTGCTTGTGCTGTCTCTCGCTCTCAAATAAAATATTTTTTAAAAAGAGCTTAATTATATTTACCTGTTTGGTTGTATTTCATTCAACAAGGATTCATTGAGTGCCTGCTAGCGCCCGGTGCTGTGCTAAGCTGTAGGAATAAAATTGTAAAGAAAAGAAATATGGCCTCTGCTCTCCTGCAATTTGCAGTCTAGTGGTATTTTCTTTTTATAATTAATTTTAATGGATTAATTGATTTTAATTAACTGATTTTAAAGAACCCAAATGGATTTTTTCCACCTTTATTGAGATATAACTAACATATGATGGTGGCTGAAAGAAAGTACAATAGCTGCATTAATGAATAAATTCGCAGTTAAAGATTCTGAATGAAGGAAACACACCTGAGATCTGAAGGGTGTTTAGACGTTAACTGTAAGAAAGGAAATAGCAGTGGAAGATGCCGGAGAGTTCTAATTTCAAGGGCCTGGTCGTAGCAGCTGCTCAAATTAAAATCACTAGTAGGTAGGCACAGTTTTGTTTTGTTTTTTGTTTTTTTTTTCTTTTTCTTTTTCTTTTTTCTTCACAAGTAGGCAGAGAGGCCGGTAGAGAAGGGGAGGCGAGGGGAGAGCCCAATGCGGGGTTTGATTCTACGACCCTGGGATCAGGACCTGAGCCGAAGGCAGAGGCTTTAACCCACTGAACCACCCAGGCGTGCCCAGTACGCATAGTTCTAAGGACTTTCCTTGGATTATCCCACTTAATCATCATAACTCCGTAAAGTACAGATAGTGTATTATCATTATCTCCATTCCTCAGAGTGGAGACTGAGGCACAGAGCGAAATTAAGTAACTTGCCCAAAGTCATTTAGCTTTCGAGTAGCGGAGGCAGGTTCTAGGCCAATCAGTCCGTAGTCTACTGCGTGCCGTGCTACACAATGAATGGTGGCTATTAGAAACATTTGCGGATCGAAGAGGGTGGGGGTAGAGAAGGCCACTGTAGGAAGAGGGAACTGCAAAAAAAAGAAACTCCAACCGATGTGATACATACAGCGCGTTAGGTCATAGGAGAAAATGACTCAGGGGTGAATTAGTCCACTTGCGGGTTCCATCCTTGAGCTGCTAACAGAACCCGGAACAGAGACCCTCCGCAGGGGAGGGTCTATTAGTCCCACTTCTAAAAGTCAGCCGCGCTGAGAATGAGCCCCGTGTGGTTGGTGCGCACAGGCGCGCGCACTGCCTGCGTAACTAGAAATGCTGACGGACGACTGCCCCGCAGCACGCCGCTCAGCTCCCCGCAGAACACGGGATCGCTTCTCGGCGGACGTTACAGTGCCAAGCAGGGAAAGTCAACGTGCATGCGCACGCAGCACTCTCTGCCAAAGGGTCCGGGGACTTTCCCCTAGGCACGAATAAGGAACAAGTCCTTCGTCTGTAGCCTAGGAAACAGGCCTTCAGCACGAACTGTTTGAGATCTCCACGATCAGTCTTTTAAGGTTCGCTGTCCTAAGCATTTTATGATTAGGGTGAATAGGTTGAGAGTATGAGAAATAAAATCCATTTGCCAGCATAATCTTATAAGATTGTAGGCTCCTAGAAGCATTCTGGCTAATAGAATTCCTAAATAGACGAGAAATGCATTCATTTGGGAAAGTTGGGCCAAGGTCCTATGCTAATAAGCTTGCCCCGCCCACACACTAAGTGGGCGTGACCTCCCAGCGTGTCCGGGTACGCGACCCTCGCACCGCCCCTCTTGCGCATGCGCAGCGGGACTCCCGGCCAACTCTGGCGCCTCCGGGACCTACGTTCTGTGGCCTGCAATGGCGGGGTCGGTCCCGTTTGCGGGTTTGCTGGGGTTGCTACTTGTGTCTGCACTGCCCGGGGTCCTCGGAGACCGCCCCAGCCCCGACCTCCGGGCACACCCAGGTATCAGCGAGGGCTTCTGGAGGGAGGCTAAGACTGCCCATGGGTCCCCAGGCCCCGGCTCTACTGACCCACCTCTGCCGTCCTCAGCAGGGGGCCATGCCCAGGTCGGCCCTGAGGCCACGGAACCCCGGCGACGGTCGCCGCCCAAGGACCAGCGAGAGTGGGCCCGGGCGGGAGCTCTGCCTTTGGGGGCGCTGTATACCGCAGCTGTCGTGGCTTTTGTGCTGTACAAGTGTTTGCAGGTGCGGGAAGACGAGGGGTGGGGATGCTCCGGGCCTGAATCTCCCATGGGGGCGCTATGGTACCATGAACAAGACACTTCTTTTCGTCAGTTTGTAAAACGGAGACGGTAGTTCTTTGGCTTTCCAACACTAGAGGGTTATTTTGAGCATCCAGCGAGGTAGCAGATGTGAAGCGTTCTTGGTAAATTGTAAATAAATAATGACCACATTTAATTCTCCCAACAGTCCAATGAAGAGATAAGTCATTTGCTCAAAGTCACACAGAGCTGGTAGTAACTGGGATTTGAACCCAGCAAGTATGTGTCCATACTACGGAAGTGTGGCTGCTGGTAAAATTCTAGTCTTGGCACAAAATGTTGGTTGCTGTAGCCACAATATGGAAGGCCCTAGTCTCATGTTCTCCTTAGAAAGGAGGCCCTGAAATGTAAAATGACAGTACATTTTAGTGTATGGAAATGGTTGGAATGGAAAATACCTTCCAAGGCTCTATCCTCAAACCTGGCCTGATTACTTATTTGCATTAGGAAGTAGAAGGCTGAACCAATTTGGAGGGGATATGAAATTAAAAGGGATAGCTAGTCATGATTCCAAATAGACTGGACAGGTTATGATGAGGGACTATCACGATGAAATTTAAAGAGAATCAATAATAAATTATATTTGTGGACCCAAGTACTATCTGGAAGAAACATATAACTTAGCAGTTTATTAGTTGAATAATAAAGTTCAGTCGTGTGTTGTGAAAGCCACTTCCCCAGGCAATGCTAGGAACAAGGTATTGCATCTCATCTTCTGATCAGAACATTCGAGAGAATTTTATTCTCTTCAGGGAACTACTTCTAAGAACACTATGTGCCCAGTAGAGCAACCAGAGAAAACCATATCAAATGAACAGCGACTGAGTAAAACTAGAGATATTAAACCAGAGAAGACATAGGAAAGGGGAGTGGGCAAAGACCATTGTCTTCAAATTCCTGAGTGGCTATCATGTTGAAAAGACATGGTTTTCGAAGGCAACATGGAAAGAAGATACATAAAGGAAAGTTTTTGGTTTTGTGTATAAACAAACAACCAGAGCTTTATCAAACTGGAGAGAGATGCTCATTCCTGGGAGTGTCTCATTAGACTGAATGACCCCGTGTGGGGGCATACTGACATGTTGCTTCATATCCCAGGTGAGGAGCTAGACTAGGTGTGATTATGATTCTCTAAAATCTCCATGGCTTTCTCGACTTCAAAATTATCCTTCTCCTCTCATGGCTTTGGAGACGGAGGTGATGGAGAAGCTTGTTCCTGCAGGCTAGCCCTCTCTTTCTTCTATTTCATCAGGGGAAAGATGAGGCTGCAGTTCTCCAGGAGGAGGAAGGCAAGAAGGAATCATCACAGTCAGGTGGGTTTTGCACAAGCCTGTATTTGGTAGGTGATTACAGGACCACAGAAGATACAAATAACCATTGCTCTCCTTTTCTCCTTTACCCCCAGAGCAACAGCTGGCCCATTTGACACAACAGCTAGCCCAGACAGAGCAACACCTGAACAATCTGATGGCCCAGCTGGACCCCCTTTTTGAGCGGTAAGAAGAGCAGTGACCCTGTGGCCAGGGGAGCTTTGTGATAGGTGGAAAAGGTGGCGACAGATCGGCTAGCCTCTGAGTGGATATTTCTACAGTGTGACTACCCTGGCTGGAGCCCAGCAAGAGCTTCTGAATATGAAGCTTCAGACCATCCACCAGCTGTTGCAAGACAGCAAGCCAAACAAGGGTGTGGACGTTCCAGAACCAGGTAAAGGGTTGGGTGGTGTGAGTCTTGTGGAGGTGGAGACAGTCTCTGAGATAGGAATATCCCTGATCTTTCCCCTCACAGAGGCCAGCCTACCCTTTCCTGAGGACTTATGTATAGAGGAGGAGGAGGCGGAGGCTGGTGACAGTCAGGCCTGGGAGGAGCCCCTACACTGGAGCACAGAGACGAGAAACCTAGCTACTCCTTGGGAAATGGAGCAGGGGCTAAGGAGAAGATGCAGCAAGGCTGTGGGAAGGGCTGCAGTCACAGCCCCCGCCGGCAAGGAGAAATGACAGCTGAAGGTTTAGTAAAACAAAGTCTGTGCTTGTGACTGGACACTCCTGTGTGCTTTTTCTATTCCAGCTGGTCCTACACACACCCATACTAGGTGCCCAAGAACAACTGGGCCTTCCTGAAAAGCTTCCCTTATTAGGATAAAAAGAGGCCACCTTCCAGTGTGAGAGCTGAGAGAGAGAGGGAGCTCCAGCTCTTTTCCTTGTATTCCTGAGGCCACCAGCAGGGCAGCCTTCAGGGCACAAACACCTCTCTTTCCCTTACTGCAGAGCTGAGACAGAAAGGCCTTTCCAAAAAGGGGAAGAAAAAAAATGTTTACTAAAATGCAGTGGAAAAATAAATTACAGAAACTGTATTCAACATAAAAACATCCACGTTTACAAGGCTGCAGTCCTGATAAACAACCACCCAGGGACCCAGCACTGAGCTTAATCAGTCCTAAATTCCCTCATCTGCATTGAAGGGGCTGGTTCAGCAGAGCTTCACCAGGGTGGGACTTGGTTTCCTGATTCTCAAGGGCTGGTCAGATGAGCTGGCACGGCTTGGTCTCAAGCAAACCCGAAATGACCCTTCTCCAACCATGAAGTGTTGTGTGTGTTTTGTTTAGTTAGTATTGAAGATTTCTTTGTACTCCTCTGACTTTGACTTGTCTCTAAAGTAAACTGGGTTCTGGAATTAAGATTCTTCTAGTTCTTCTGGCTGCTGTGGAGAGAAGATGGTCAGTTTAGGCACTGGCATGAGCACTCTCTTCAGACAAAATCACCCATGGCCTTGGGGGTGGGGCAGCCTAGCAGGTGTCAGACGTGAGACAGGATTAGAACTGCTCGCTCCCGGCCCATGGGCCTCATCACAGCACTCTTACCTGATGGCCAGAGTCAAACTGTGGTGCCAGTGCAACAGCTCCTCCTGGTCTGTGCACATAAGCAGTAGCTTCTCATGGGGAAAGGACAGCTAGGGAGAAATCACCACTTAGTGCAGGGCTCAGAAAGGTCCAGGCTAAAGCTGAAGGCCTTGCTGTTTCCATGAAGGTAATTCAGGGCTAAGGTGAGAACTAGGGATGAACCCCAACCCCCCCCCATCTCAATGCAGGTGGCTTAGTTCCTCTGAAGGGGGCCTGGGCCTAGGCCAAGGGGATAAATAGTACATAGGCATTCGAGGCCTGTTTTGAGCCTCTCCTACTGAACTAGGGCTCCCGCCCATAACTTACACTGAGCAGTCCACCACAAGGGCCTCCTGAGTGGCCAAAGACTCTGTGGAGTTGACACTGTGCCATGGGGTAGAGGGCACGGCAGGCAAAGGTGCCACTCTGCAGTAGGTGCAGTGGGGGTCGAGGTTTGGCCATGAGGAGCACATCGGAGAAGAGGAAGAACATTCGGGGCCGGGGTTCCCCATGGGGAGGCACTACCAATAGCCAGCCCTGGCGTAGGAACCAGCGACCTGGGGTGGGGGGGAGAGCTGTTATTCTGGTGCAGCTCCAGGACCATGATCCATGGGAGCAGAAAGAAGGGGAGGCTAAGGAAATAGGGCATTTGTGCTGGCAATACAGAAAAGGGGAGTTTGAGGATTGGGGATGGGGTGGGGCACAGAGAAGGGGAGCGTGCAGTACCTGAGGTAAGCCCCTTTGCCTGGCGGCCACTTAGCAAAGCCTGAACACGCCGGAGGTGCTGGTCATTCTTCTGTTTCTGACCAATGCTGTAGACTTTCTGGGCGGTTTCACTTATCAGCCGGGCAGCCCCTGGAACAATATCCCCCACCCCACTCCTGGTACAGCTTTGACTTTGGGTGACTGATGGTGAGGAAAGGCTATTCTGGAGGGGACTAGGGTGAGGGTCTAACCTCTGAGAGAGCAGGCAGGGCAACAGGCATGTTGTTTACATGTCAGTGGAAGATAGGGACATACCAGACATTGTTAGAGGGCAGAACCAGAACAGGAGAGGCAGCCTCCTGCCTGTGTTTCAGAGGAGCAAGAACATACGTGTGAGCTGTTGCTGGTCAGGGCTGTTGGGACCTGTGTTTTCAGCCAAAGCCACAACAAGATTCTCATACCTGGAATTAGACAGTTGGAAGTCCACAAGGGGAAGTAGAGTTGGGCAGAATTCCTTCTGCCTGACCTACAGATCGCTCCCGACACACACTTTAGTTGCAAGGCCAGGAAAGACCTGCTTCTGATGGTTGCATCCCTCTCTTTCATCTGGGACTCAGAACCCGGGCTCACCCCACATGGCCCTCTGCTTCCATCTTCCCACACTGAAGAGTCAGGAGCAGACTGACCATGATTTGGGAGTCTAGTTCCCAAGATTAATGAAAATTAATCCATCCAAGGAGGATGCTAGAGACAACCTGACTATATGCTCTTAACATCCCCAGGAACAGAAATCTAAGGTAGGCAAACCTCTCATCTCAACAGACTCTTCCATACCTTGCTTCTATTACAGGCCCCCTCACTTCAGTACTGACTTCCACATTCCTAGCTAAGGGCCTGAGCTGCAGACTCCAGCTACTCCAGTGGGTTCACATTTACTCTTGCAAGAGGTTTTTAAGAGCGGTTGGTCCCAGGAGAGAGGCAATGGGACAGAAGCCATAGACCCCACAAAGCTGAGAGCAGGGATCATACAGACCCAGAAAAGAGAGGTTGGCTGAATCCAGGTGAGTTTACTCACTGCTGGAGCCTCTGCAGAGGCAGAGGGAGCAGGTCCTGAAGATGAAGGCTCCCAAACTCAGGGCGGCCTTCCTGAAGTCGCACAAACCTCCGGAAACGTTTGTTTTTCTTTAGTTGCTCCTGGAGTGATAGGGAAAGGATTGGCAGCAGGGAGAGAAGCCACTCCTTATATTGTATTCATCTGTGTACACAGCCCCCAGCCCTCTGTAAGCTGTGTGCTCCTGAGAGAAGCCCTACAGTGAACTTTGGAGAGATGGGGGACACCTACGGGGCTGTAGAAATGTAGGAGCAGTATGAGTGAAGTTTGGAGCTCCAGAGGAAGAGGCAATGTATGGGGCAAAAGGGGAAGAACTTGAGATTATCTTCGGGTTACCTGCAGGGTGGTCCAGGACCTCTCTGCATTCGCAGCAAATTGGGTGTAGAGCTCCAGGTGGGGGCAGAAGCTTTCCAGCCCCTGTCCCCAGTGCTCTCCTTCGAGGTAGGGAAGCAGCTCTCTGCGTGGGTGAGGATAGTAAAAGCAATCCAACAACTACTCAGGCACCACCTCATTGAATTCTCATAACCTTGCGCTGGAGGTAGTGGTATTATCCCATTTTACAGATGGAAGGTGGGGCAGGGTAAGGCACTGGGCCAAGACCACAGGTGAGGTAACTGGCAGACTCCGTATATGAACTTGGGTCTCCCCCGACTCCAAGCTTCGGGCTCTGCCAGAGGCGAGGGCCCCCCTCTTCTCTTTCCCCTCGCCCCTTCTACTCACTGGCTGGCGCCGTAAATGAGCTCCCAGGGCCCAAACAGGGCCTGACGTTCTGCTGGTCGCAGGGTGCCCTTGGCTCTCAGAATCCCCACGAAGTACTGCGGAAGGAGAGTACGGGTATATAATCTGCCGGAAGAGGAGGCTAATGCCAAGCCGCTGCTAGAAACTAGAATGCCTGAGCTCCCTAAATGCAAGCGGACGGCCCAAGACCCACTATACTCGGGGTCACCGACCTCGCAGAGACCCTCCCATACCCTGGGGTCCCCGCCCCATACGGGAGGGCGTGCGCGGCCGCACCGTGGCCACCAGCCCCAGCTGTTCCTGGTAGCGCCGCTCGGTCTCCAGCAGCTCCCGGGCAGTGCAGGCGCGTTTCCGCTCCCAACGGGCACGCTGCTCTTGAACTGTGCATCGTCCGCTGGCTCCCCGTCTCTCCATGCCAGGCTGAGGGGTCGGTTCTTCCGGCCGCAGCCCGCCAGAGATTCAAATCCCAACCGCTCCGGGGGCGGGGCCAGAGAGAGGAGTGCGCCCCCTGGCTCCGGGAGGCTGCGCGCAGGACGGAGCATGCGCGGCGGCCCGCCGAAAGGCCTTGAGTCTCTGCGCTTGCCCTACCGCCAGGGCGGCGCTGCAGGTGCGAGAAGCCAGCTCAGGCAGCGTTGAGTGGGGCATGTGGGTGGCCCTCCTCTGGACTGGCGCTAAGTTGGGGCTGTAGTCTGGACCTTGGAAAGCAGACATCAGCGGGACCTCAGTATCCTATCTGTAAAATTAGGAAGGGGGCAATAATTACCGTACATATTCTCTCCTGGGCCTGTGCCAGATCTGGGGTCCAGTCGTCCCCAGTGCTTTCACTACTAGGAAACCTCAGGGGTCACAAGGCTTGAAATGTTTTGGCCCTTGGACAAAAGTTTATAGGTTTTAAGTTACTAACTCGTTTTTTCCTTTCATACTGATCCAAAACCTGACAGCCCATTAGCTCCTGATCAGCAAATGTCAATAACTAACGTGGTGGTCAGAACTGCTGTAATTCTGGCCAAAGGCTCAAGCTTGTAGTTGATTAGTCTGTTCTACCCCGTCAAAGATGAAAGGGACCAGATTTTCCTTACTTTGTTAGGTCTTTCGAGAAATTGGCAGTAGCCCTAGAGGATAAATTGGCAGAGCCATTTTGCCAGTATGTATGAGAAGTCTTAAAATGTGCTTACTCTTGGGGTGCCTGGGTGGGTCGGTGGGTTGGGCCCTCTGCCGGCGGCTCAGGTCTAGATCCCAGGGTTTTGGGATCGAGCCCCGCTTCATGCTATCTCCTGGGCAGGGAGCCTGTTTCCCTTCCTCTCTCTGCGTGCCTCTCTGCCTGTTTGTGATCTCTGTCAAATAAATAAATAAAATCTTTTTTTAAAAATGTGCTTACTCTTATCACCTAGAAGTTCCATTTTTAGGAATGCACCCTAAAGAAACAGATATGTGAACAAAAATATGTATACCAGAATGGGTGGTACAGTGTTGTTTGTAACGATATAAAATTGGAAGCCTTCTAAATGTCCAGTGGTAGAGAATTGGCTAGGAAAATTATGGTACAGCTATTTGAAGGAATATGAAAGCATTACAAATGTAAAAAACCTATCAATATGGAAAAACATGCAGAGTATATTGCCAAGACCAAAAAAACCAGGCTAACAAAGCTGTACAATATGATCCCATTTAGGTATAGCATATATAGGACTGGAAGGATAAGCAATCAAGAGGTAGTTGTGGTTGTTATCTCTGGGTGATGGGATTGAAGTTAATGCACTCCACAAATATTTTTTTAAGCACCTAATCTGTGTCAGGCACTGGATCGCTGAGGTTAAAGGGGTGAATGGGACAAATAAGGTGATTTTTTTTTAAAGATTTTATTTATTTATTTGTCAGAGAGAGAGAGGGAGAGAGAGCGAGCACAGGCAGACAGAATGGCAGGCAGAGGCAGAGGGAGAAGCAGGCTCCCTGACGAGCAAGGAGCCCGATGTGGGACTCGATCCCAGGACGCTGGGATCATGACCTGAGCCGAAGGCAGCTGCTTAACCAACTGAGCCATCCAGGCGTCCCAAAATAAGGTGATTTTTTAAATTCTCTTAATGTTTTTCTCCTTTTTGCAAGTTTTCTGCTGGAGCATGCAAGCATTACATTTTATTTATTATTTTTTAAGATTTTATCTATTTATTTGACAGAGCACAGGTAGGGGGAGCGGCAGGCAGAGGGAGAGGGAAAAGCAGGGGAGCCTGATGCAGGGCTTGATCCCAGGACCCTGGGATCATGACCTAAGCCAAAGGCAGTTGCTTAAATGACTGAGCCACCCAGGTGCCCTGCATGCATTACTTTTTAACCAGAAAAAAAAATACTATTAAAGACCAAAATGTTAAGAAACTTTCAGACCCTGCATTCCTCCCACTGTGGAACTCTAGGAATTTGGAACCCAAGACAAAAACCAGGGTACTGTTAGGGTTTTGAGGTCCCCTCTAGCTCACTGACATTCTAAGAATTCTAAGGAGAAATGCTGGACTTAGATCAGGGAAAAACAACTTGAAGGGTTGGATGGTGGAAAGAGAAAGTTTGGGTCAGACTGTACCTTGGACTCAAGGAAACTGATGATACCATATAGGTGAGGACTAGTTACACACTCTTCAGTGAATGTGGGGCAGTCCACACCAGGAGTTCATGGCAAAATGGGACAGATAATCCCACAGTAATCTATATCACTATGAGTCTCTTCTGCAGCCCTGGGATGAGCAGAAACATGGCCCTAAATGTCTGAAGGCACAGACCCTAATGACCAAAGACTTGGCCATAAACACCACAGAGAGGCCATGCACAGGCAGGTGGTGCCCCAGTCAGTTGGTCCTGAGTACACCATGTCCCAACCTGGGAAAGTTCCCAGAGTAAGACTCTGGGAGCTCGAACCTGTCTTAGAGTTTGGCAGTCTCCCAGCTGCAAAAGCATGATCCAGGGTCAGAGTCTATACTCCCCACCCAGACCAGAGACACAGTCACACACAGAAACAGAGCGCTTAAGAAAGAGACAGCAGCATGGAGAATGGCATTTGGAAAATTAAAAGGCTGAAACAGAGAGACCTGCACATAGACACAGATCTAGGCTCTGAAACATTAACTAAAAGCAGCTGAGATGACAGGGAGGCAGGTGGACATAGAGTGCTGCAGAGAAGTGTACTAGGATATCTTGACAGTGACCTAAAAAGGAAAACGATGGAAATATGAAGAACATTTGGAAAGAGGGAAAATGAAGTAAAGCTGGGATGGGTCTTGGAGAAAGATCTCCACACATACAGACTCCAGACCCCAGTAAGCATGGTGCTTCTGTCTACTGTGGCTGCCCATGACCTCTTCCACCTCAACTAGACTTGTCATTACTACATTCTGTCTTGTCTAAGTCCATCCAGTTTGGTACTAGCATGTACCCTCCATGTGTCAGTGTCTAACCAAGGTGCTGACATCACAGCCAACCCAGACAATAAGCTGACCTTCCACATTGCACACTGGATCAGATTTCCATGGATGGCTCTTAATTTGGCTCCAGAAATAGCAACCTGGATTGTTAGGCTGCCTCCCTCCTTGGAGGACAGCAATTGTTCAGCTCTGTGCAAGTTTTGGTATACACTGACAGTTAATCTGACAAGGCAGATAATTTGGGGTGCTGTAAAAATGTGACCTCATGCTCTTGGAACAGTTGTGGTTTGGCAAACACAAGTCATTTGACAATGAACTCCCTGAGGGCAGGGAAGCCATCTTAGTTGATTTGGTTTTCCTCAAGTCCTGGCAAGGTGATCTGCAGAGAGAAAAATGCTCCATAATGGTTGGTGAATAAAAGACTTAATCAAATACTGGACCCTGCCCTTATGGAACTCAATGCTATTAGAGCAGATAAAATGTCATAAATCACCATAATATAAGTTGGATGGTGGGCAAGGTTATTAGTAAGGGTAGGCAAAGAACTGTGGTGGTTCAGAGACACCAGAAATCTCTTCCTATGGAAGAGAGTGGAGGAGGTGGCCTTTGAGCTAAGTCTTGAATCATAGGAGGGACTTAGGAGAGACAGTAAAACTATTTTACAGGGTAGCGGGTACAGAAGTACTGATTCATGACAGTGGAAGCTGGCTGGGCCTCTGCTGTGCCAGGCGTTACCTCTTTTTTTTTTTTTTTTTAAGATTTTATTTATTTATTTGACAGACAGAGATCACAAGCAGGCAGAGAAGCAGAGAGAGAGAGGAGAAAGCAGGCACCCTGCGGAGCAGAGAGCCCGATGTGGGGCTCTATCCCAGGACCCTGGGATCATGACCTGAGCCAAAGGCAGAGGCTTTAACCCACTGAGCCACCCAGGCACCCCAGGCGTTACCTCTGTATTATTATTATCATCATCATTATTATTTTTAAAGATTTTATTTATTCATTTGACAGAGAGATCACAAGTAGGCAGAGGCAGGTAGAGAGAGGAGGAAACAGGCTCCCTGCTGAGAGCCCGATGCGTGGCTCAATCCCAGGACCCTGAGATTGTGACCTGAGCCGAAGGCAGAGGGTTAACCCACTAAGCCACCCAAGCACCCCTATTTTTTTTTAAAGATTTTATTTATTTATTTGACAGAGATCACAAGCAGGCAGAGAAGCAGGCAGAGAGAGGAAGGAAGCAGGCTCCCCGCCAAGCAGAGAGCCCAATGCGGGGCTCGATCCCTGGACCCCAAGACCATGACCTCAGCCAAAGGCAGAGGCTTTAACACACTGAGCCACCCAGGCACCCCTATTTTTTTTTTTTAAGATTTTATTTATTTGACAGATCACAAGTAGGCAGAGAGGCAGGCAGAGAGAGAGAGGAGGAAGCAGGCTCCCTGCCGAGCAGAGAGCCCAGTGTGGGACCTGATCCCAGGACCCTGAGATCATGACCTGAGCTGAAGGCAGAGGCTTTAACCCACTGAACCACTCAGGTGCCCTAGGCATTACCTCTTTAGATAAGAGATCAGTAGAGTCCCCAGAGAAGAGGGAGGTAGAAGGAGTGCCCTGAACCTAGGAACTAGTTCTCAACAGGATTAGAAATATTTCTTTTTTTTTGTTGTTTGTTTGTTTTTTATTATTTTCTTAAAGATTTTATCCATTTATTTGACAGAGATCACAAGTTGGCAGAGAGGCAGGCAGAGAGAGAGAGAGAGAGAGAGAGAGGAGGAAGCAGGCTCTCTGACAGGCAGCCCGACGTGGGGCTTGATCCCAGGACCCTGAGATCATGACCTGAGCCGAAAGCAGAGGCTTTAACCCACTGAGCCACCCAGGCGCCCCCAGGATTAGAAATATTTCAACATATTTCTCTAATGCATACAATCATACTGGCGCATATCTACTGAATTTAGCCCCAGATAGGAACTTCCTGAGATGGCCTTATTCTCTTTTGGTTTGTTGAAGCTGTGGGGACCTTACTAGAATGTGAGCTACAGAACAGTAGAGGTGGTTCTCTAGTTCAGTGCTGCATCCCTAGGGGAGGCTCAGTGTTTCTCAAATGAACAGGCATACTGGGAACCCCAAGTCCATTCTTAGGGTCCTTTCAGTCTTCATCTCCTTGTACCTGCTCTCCCCCTCAAATCCATGCTCCACACCAGCACTCAACACAACCTAATATGAGAATTGGATTCTGTCATTCTCCTGCACAAGATACTTGATGCCTTTCCTTTGCACAAAATACCATTCTCCCCATTGTTTTTAGCAATTGAATTGCTACTTCTCCAAAATCCAG